CCAAAATGGCGGGACCTCCCCACAGGCGCAGGGAGAAGCGCTGTGAAGGGCTGCTCACCGCGGTAGCCGGTTGCTCTGGTCCACAGCACAGGAACCTTCTGCTCCGCGGCTCTGCACTGCTGGGGTTTGGTTGTCCACCTTCACATCCACTCCCACCCTCTCACACACTCACTCACTCTCTCACACATGCACCCTCCCTCCCTCCAGTCCTGCCCGCAGCCATCTTCCCATTTATTCCACATTTTAAATATATACTTCAACTAAAATGCAGAAGCAGATATAAGAATCTGGCTATTTTCTATTAAGCTGGACATTAAATAGATTTTCAAAAATATAAAACAAGGCAACTCTTCCAATTAAATATTTTTTGTTTTAGAAAATATAGCTATTTTTAATAAAAATATTATATATGTTTTGTGTAATAATTTGCCATTATTTTAAATAAATGTTGAAAATTTTCTCAGTTTAAATTTTGAATATGTTAATATTGATAGACATAACCCATATAGACAAAAACCCTTTCAGATTCGTAATATTTTAAAAGACTGTAAAGGATCCTGAGAGTAAATTATTTTATAACTACTGTCCTAAAGAGTTAACTCTTTTACAATGCATCTAGACTAGTACTATCTGTATGTACCATCCTTGAGAGAACTAAGAAAAATCATCATTCAAATTGTTTTATAGGGCTTCTCTCATAGGACCCCGGGAGAGAAAGATTGTTCTAGACATTAGTAAGTTAATACATGTAAAATGTGTTGGACCATGATTAGCAGATAAGCCCTCTATAAATGTTAGCTGTTATTATTGCTTTTATTAATTGTTAGTCATTTGACAGTAATGTATATTCAAATATTTTCTCTCATTTGGTGGGTTTTAATTGTCTCTGTGGTATGTTTTCTTATGTAGAAATTTTAAACTTTAATCTGTATTGAAATTTATCAACACTGTCTCTTGTAGTTCATTCTTTCTGTCTTGTAGAAAATTTTTCCCTTCCACAAAGTTAAAATGAGATTCTTTTCTATTTTCTTTAAAAGTTTCCAAGTTTCCCTTTTCACAAGCTCACAAAACCACTCCTATCAAGATCACCGGTGACCCTCACGTTGCTGAATCCAGTGGTCAATTCTCAGTCTTCATCATCCACCTATCAGCAGCCTTTGACACATTTGATTCCTCCTTTAATTCCTGAGATTCTGCCTCCTTCTGGCTCCTGGGATAGCTCTCCCTTTGGTTGTTCTCCTGCTCATAGGCTCTTTGTCCTTGTCTCTTTGGGGGTCCTCTCCTAAGCGCTGGGAGTATTCTGGCCTCTGTTCTTCCACCTCTTCTCTTTTCTATCTATACTCACTCTCTCCCTGCTCTCATCCAGTTTAGTGGTTTTAAATGTCCACACACTGATGACTCCAAAATTTTATCTTACTTCCAGCCTCTCCTCTAAACTCTATTTTATCCAACTGCCTATCAGATGTCTAATAAGCATCTCAAACTTTATCTGGTCACAACGGAAACATTGATTTCTCCAAGCTGTTTCTTCCATGTTACCCATTTCAATGACATGATCATTCATTCTGTTGCTTAAATTGAAACATGGATTCTGTTGCTTAAGTTGAAACAGAATTTTCTTGTTTTATTTTTTCCTTTAATAATTCATATTCAAGATTTAAGCAAATATTTCTTTTTTCTTTAGAATATATCATAAATCTTAGCCACTTTACACCTACTCCACCAGAACCACCTTCGTGCAAGAAATGGTCGTTCTTCACCTGGACTATTACAAATGCTAGCTGGCCTAAAGGTTTCCTTGTTCTGATTTGTTTTCCACACAACTGGGAGAGTGAACATTTTGAAACAGATTTGAATGAGATTATGTCACTCTCCCCACTCTCTACTTCTAATGGCTTCCCATCTCACTCAGAAGAATATCCAAAGTCGTACCTGGGCCCGCAATGTCCAGCATGACTGGGCCTGCCACTGCCCCTCAACTTCATTCCTAGTTCTTCTTGCCCACCCTATGGCACCACAATGGCCTCCTTGCTGTTTCTTGAACTTTCCAGGCACATTACCAGCCCGTCTTCCATAATGATCCTGTCCAGGCTCCTGTTTATTCTGGAGGGGTCCCCTTTTCCCTGCAGGGGTCATAATCCTGGTGACCACTGTTTTCTTTGGGACCCACATAGAAGCCCCAGGCTTCCACCAGGCTCACTATTTCACACTTTTGTCTGGTATGGATTCCATGGAGGTATTTCTTATATTCTTATGCATTTTTCTTTTTCCTTTGTATCTACTATTGTTAAATGTTTGGAGAAGAGAGGTATATCTTCATGGGAACATGAAAAAGAAAAGTCCTTAAGCCTATAATTTGAGCTCACTGTTACTTGTGCCCATACTTTTTGCTACATTTTCCCTTCTAGATCATGTGTTATTCAATTTTGATTTCCTCTAAGATTCATGGGTTACCAATGAGATATTTTCTTGATTATAGAGCAGTTAAGATTTCTAATGGTTCTTCCCCACATTGATGTCTAATTTTTGTATTATTATTAGAGAATATGGCCTATGCAATTTGTAAGATCAAAATAAATAAAAACATTCTCAATATTTAAAGAGCAAAGTCCTTTTGTTGTTAATTAAAATTTGTTGACTACATTATTGATTTAAAAAATATTGGATCCAACAACAACTACTAAAATAAATATAGTAAAACTTCCCACCACAAGTATATATACACTTTCAAATTCTCTTGCATTGTTAGGGGTTTTATTTTATGCAGTTTTCTGCTATATTGTATGTTGTATAAAATGTTATGACTGTTATATCTTCTTTGTGGGTTACATCTTTTATTATCATATAATATTCTTCTTTGTCTTGTTTAACACATTTGTCCTTGAATTTGCTTTGTCTGACCTTGTCACTTCTATTTACTTTTTGCTTCGTTAGCACCGTCTATTGTTGCCTACCTCTTTATTTTTAACCTTTTAAAAAATGTGTGTTATATTCAAATAGTGCACAATTGAATTTTATTTATTTATTTTTAAAAAATATGTTTTTATTGATTTTTTAGTGACAGTGGAAAGGAGAGAGAGATAGAAACATCAGTGTGAAAGAGAAACATCAATCAGCTGCCTCCTGCACGCCCTCTACTGGAGATCCAGCCTGAAACCCGGGCATGTGCCCTGTTCAGGAATCGAACCCAGACCTCTCAGTCCATGGGACGACGCTCAATCCACAAAGCCACACAGGCTGGGCTTGGATTTTATTTTTTAATGACATCTGATAATCTCAGATTTTTAACTGGGGAATTAATTCTATTCATGTTTTCATTGAATAAGTATAGTCGGGGTTGAGGGCTTCTGTATTCCTCTGGGTTTGTTATCTGTATCTGTTAGGGATGTGCTTGACTGTAAAGAACAGAATACACGGTTAAGAGTTGTTTAATAAAATAAATCTTTCATATTTATGTTATTATATTTTATTTAATAATTACAAAACTTTATTCTTTGAAGTTCTGTGTTTTTCTCAAATGATGAAAAATGTGGAGATGAACTGCCTTAGGCTCTTTGTAAAAACAAGTGAGATGGCACTCTTAATGTGCTTGCGTTAGCCTGGTCCTCTGAGGAGCAGAGACAGGTGGGAATAACCACAGGAGGGTTCACAAGGCACTGCCTGTGACACTGGAAAGGGCAGGGAGCTGGAGGAGGTTGGGAGAGCCATCACACTGCCGTGCAAGTCTGACCTGAGTGACGGGGACGGGAAAGTCAGGCTGGGTGGAGGTGTTCTGGCAGACGTGCAGTCCAGGAAAGGTCTGTCAAGGCCCATCAGAGGAGTCTGGTGTCACCCAGGAATAAGCCTGCCGCGCTCAGTCACAGGCTGGGAGCTGCCTGTGAAGCACGGCCTCGGGCATGCACAAGAACACAGGAGCTGGAGAGCTAGGTCCACCATGGTCCCTGTGGCTGGATGTGGGGCACATTCTCAGGGCTGCCGCAATGCGCTGTACCCAGCTCGCTTAACTCACCTTACACGTCTTATGGGGCTTGTCATGCAAAACCTTTAAAAATCCCATCTCTTGCCATTTGGACCCCAGAAGAAGGTGGTTTTTCCAATCTTACAAAGTCCCAAATTTCTGTATTCCCTCTATTTCTTTTCATCTCTACTTGCAAAGCACTCAATTCTTGAACTAGTTTCTCTTAACACCTTGCCAAACCCAGCCACTAGCAACCAACACACACTCCGGACATTCTATTTTCCAGTCTCTTCCCTTAGAGTGACAGATTCAGAAGGCACGGGGGTCTGCCTTTTAAATTATAGTGTCTGACAATTTCACCAAATGTTCTGCTCCTGCAGAACATGGATCTCCAGCCAGTCAGCCTGATAAACCTCACTGACACCCAATGTCCGAGGCGATGACATGTTAGTTTCTGTTTCAGCAGTACCCCACTTTTGGGATGGATTTCCGTTTTAGTCATGGTAATCAATAGAATCTGTTGCAACAGGAAAACTGAAAAATCTCAGTGGCTTAATGCGACACAAGTTAAGTTCTTGCTCATGTCACAGGTGGATATGGGTCAGGGAGACTCAGGAGCCTAGCTGCTTCATCTTGTAATCTTAATATCTCCAATTCCTTATTTCCAGCCAGTGGGGCTGGGGGTGGGGGAGAAGGCTCCCTGGCTCCCAACTGCCTTGGTCCAGAAGTGACACAGTCACTTCCTTCAGAGGGTGCTGCACTGTCACTGATGTTCTCTCTGCTGAAGATGTCAGGGGTGCTCAGCCTCAGAGACTTGGACACCTGCTTCAGCAGCCTGACTTGGCTGCTGTGTTTCTCCCTAGGGGGAGTTGGGAAGAGGTGGCCATGGACCTGAGCTTAGGCCAGTATCTCTCTGGAATACTCTCTGTGATGACCACGTACTGCAGAGTGGTCGTGCACCATCGCCAACCTAGGGCATTTCTTACCGACGAGAACTCAGACCTGTTTCTCTTCCTTTCTTGTTCCTCCTTATGCTGTGAAGCAGCGAGTAACAAGCACATCCAGTGGCTCCTGGGCGAAGACGGCGAGGTCTGGGTCTGGATCATGGGAGAAGGTCCTGGCGACAAGCCCTATGAAGAGATCTCGGAGGAGCTGATTGCAGAGAAGGCCCGGCTGCAGGCCCAGAGGGAGGCCGAGGAGCTCTGGTGAGAGGTGCCAGTAGGTGTGGGGTGGGGCCTGATCTCAGAGCCTTGGAATGGGTCCCAGATAAGGACATACAGGTTGTGGGTAGGAAGGAGGAGGTGCCAGGCAGCTGGCTGGCTGTTCTGCTAAGGTTAGGTGACCAAACCATCAAAGCTTTGCATCAGATAGACCTTGTGGGTTCAGTTTCTGCTGAATGTGTATTGCTTTGGCACTGTTGTAAAGCCAAAAAACGTAAGTCAGACCACCATAAGTCGGTGTAAGCATGTAAACTGCTTTATTTACACTGAGATAAGTTGATTAATATAGACTCACGACATTATTTAAGATTACTATATAGCATTCTCATTACATGGGGAACCCAACCTACTGGTCCTGTTGATGGACACTGAGGTTGTTTGCTATCCTTTATGCTATTAAAATACTGTGATGAACACCTTCTACCTATGCCTTTGTAAACTTGAGTGAGAGATGGGATTTTGGAGTCTTATTTCATGGCTTCCAGAACAATTTTGCTGATTTACACCCTTATATATGAGAATTCCTATTTCTCCCCATCTTTGTCAACACTGAGTTTTGTTGAACTTAGACATGTCATTCTGATGGAGTAAGAAATACTGCCATAGTTTTTACTTGAACTTCCGATGTTATGTAGCCCTTTGGTTTCCCACTTGAGCTTATACCCATTGGTGTTCTCTTGGAAGGAGACAGAAAGAGGCAGAGATTACCAAGACGTTCCGGGATGCTCTGGCCAATGAGAAAGCCCGGATCCTGGCAGAGAAGTGGAAAGTGGAGATGGAGGACCGCAAAGCTGCCAAAGTCCTGGAGGAGCGCATTCACGAGGAATTCAAGGTGAGCCCAAGGGTGGGGCATCTGTGTGTGGCCACTTGCTCTAGCTCCGAGGCCACTGAGGCTGATCCCTGATTTGAACCAGTCCTTGGGCATTGGTTGCTACTGAGTACTTTATGAGAACAGAAATATGGCATGTCTGAGCAAGAAGGAACTTCACATCCCATTGGGTCCAATCCACTTCCTATTGTACAGTTGAGAAAACGGAGGGTCAGCCGGGGAAAAGACTCGCCAAGGCCATGTGTAGTTAGGGACGTAGCCAGGACCAAAACTCAGGACTTTTGCCTCCCGAACCAAGATCCCTGATATGAAGCCTGGAAAGAGCAAAGTTTGTGGTCGGGTCAACCTGGGATGCAGTTCTAACTCTACTGCTTACTGCTGTGTGAACTTGAGAAGCTTGCTGAACTTCTCTGAGCCTTTACTTTCTTGTTTGTAATATTAGGGTAATAACAACACCCAACTTGAGGTTTTTTGAAGATTCTTCTCCTGGATCTCTTCCTGGACTTTTCTTTGATTATTCCTGAGCCAGGTTTACTTACTTAATTACTATAGTTTAAAAATAAACCTTGACAGGTTTGTATGGCCCAGTGGATTGAGCACTGTCCCATGGACTGAGAGGTCCCGGTTGGTTCCTGGTCAGGGCACATGCTCAGGTTACAGGCTTGATCCCCAGTAGGGGGCGTGCAGGAGGCAGCCTATTGATGTTTCTCTCTCACATCGATGTTTCTATCTCTCTCCTTTCCTCTCTCTAAAAAATCAATAAAAACATTAAAAATAAAAAATAAAAATAAACCGTAACATCTGTTATGGTGAGAAACTATCATTTCCAAAATGAACTTGGCTAATCTTACTCATTTTTTTTTTTTCTATTAGAGATTCACAGTGAGCGTATGTGCTTCTACTTTTTGGACATTGGTAAAATTTATTGTATTATTTAAGTACCCCACAGTTTTGTTTGTTTGTTTTTAGTTAAGCCTTAGGTTTAATACTTGTTGCTATTGTGAATGAGATTGTTCTCATCCCCTTAAAGTCCATTACAATAGCTAGTTATATATTTATATTGTTATTGATTTCCTTATTTAATTTTCCTTTGAGTTATATTTTTTAGGAGATTCTCCTGAGTTTTTAAGTGAAGTAATATTTACTCTCAAAACATTTTATTAAAAACATTTTCAAACTTGCAGAAAAGTTGAAAGAAAAATAAAATGAATACTCATATATTATCCTCTAAAATTCACCAATTATTAATATTTTGCCACATTTGCCTTCTTTCCTTCTCTCTCTTCCCCTCTCTTTCCACGTACACGTGCGTACACATACACAGGTGGCCCTTGAGCAACGTAGGTTTGAACTGCGTGGGTCCACTTACGTGGGCATTTTTTCCAATCAATATTGTAAATGTATTTTCTCTTCCTTAGGATTTTCTTAATAACATTTGCTTTTCTGTGGCTTACTTTATTATAAGAATACAGTATATAATACATACAACGTAAAAATATGTGTTAATCGACTGTTTATGTTAAGGCTTCCTGTCAACAGTAGGCTATTAATAGCTAAGTTTTTGGGGAGTCAAAAGTTATACCAGGATTTCCAGCTGCTCAGGAATTGGCATGCCAACCCTCATGTTGTTCAAGAGTCAACTGTATAGTGTATACATATACATGTACACACACACATACACACATGCACATATACACTTTTTTGTTGCAGTTGTTTTGCTGAACAGTTAGAAAGAAAGTTGCAGGCATTACACACTCTTGCACAGAGGTTAGCAATCTATTGCCCATAAAGAGCCAGATGGTAAATATTTTAGGCTTTTTGAGCCAGACTGTCTCTGTCACAACTCCCAAACCAGGCCACTGAGGCACAGAAGCAGCCATAGACACCATATAAATGATCAGATGTGGCTATTCCAATAAAACTTTCTTTTAAAATAATAGCTTGAATTCAGATTTGGCCTGGGAGCCTTAGTTGCTTACGCCTGATCAAACCCCATGTCCTTCAGCGGGCATCGCCCATGTATAAGGATGTTTCCCTGCACAGCCACAGTAATCATTATCATTGCTGCGGAAATGAACAACTTCACGATAGTATCTAAAATCCAATCCACAGTGGAGAGGTGTTTAGTTTATATTGTTGGATTTTTTTATACGATTACTTAAGTCTGTTGGGTAAGAAAACCAATACTTTTTATATATCTCTAACAGTGAGTCACCTGTTCCAATCTCTGGCCTCCCTCTTCGCCAGAGGAGGGTGAGCCTCAGATGCTGGGGTAGCTCCGTGGTGCGGGGGCCAGTTCACAAGGAAATCATGGAGGGATTGAGTTCCCAGCAGAGATTTTTGTGGTCAGTGGTCTCCTTCAGAACCTCAGTGTTGAGGGATGGTAAACTGTGGGCGGTTCTGTGTTAGGGTTCATGGAGGATTTAGTAAAGTCAGGCCCTCAAATTCACTGAAGGAATCAAATGCAGGCCTTTGGTGTTATTTCCAAAGAAGTTTATGGTCATTCTGTGTTTGTTCTAAAAATTAATGTGCTAAGTGTGAATGCTCAAACTTGAACACATATAGTAATCCTGACTTGGTGCATCTGCGTTTTGAGGGGCCTCAGAATAGCAAGTGGCAGGTGCAGGCTCCAGAGAGACCGATGGGCAGTGTGTGCGCAGCCCAGGCTGGCAAGCTGGGACACTTTCTGTCGGGATGTCTTAAGTGAACTTCCCTTGTTGTGACGAGCTCTTCATCACAGGAAATGCTTAAGCATAGGCTCAGATAGTATCTAAAAAGGTTTCTGTGGCAGGTTAAACATGGCTGGCGGCAGACTGTCTGCACTGCTTTGGGAAGTGGGCCTCTCCCCCTGCCTCCACCTGTGGCTAGCTTTGATGGCAGAATTCACTCTGATCTGTAAGAGTGACTCTGTACCTTTTGAGGAAAGGCTATAAGAGATTTGCAGCTTCTACTTTTGTTCCTTTGTCAATGGCCACTTTGGAAGCTGCCTATAAGAAGCCCTCTACGTTAGATGACCACGATGTAAGGAAACCCAAGCTGGCCAGAGAGAAGAGGCGGTGGAGGAGGCATTCTTGGTTCTTCCAGTGAATGACCTAAACCAAGTGATTGACCTTAGTGGACACCACGTGGATCAGAAGGGCCACCCAGCCCAGCCCTGCTCAAATTATTAACCTATAGAATCACAAGCAAGTAAAACAGCTGTTGTTCTAAAGCACTAGATTTTCTAGTAGTTTGTTAATCAGCAATAGATACCTGAGACAGCTTTGAGAAAGGAATTTATGCATCAGCTTAGAGATGGTCTTAGATCATTTTTATTATCTTTCAACACAAGATTCTAACAGAATGTGTCTTGCATGCAGCAGAACACCAGCGACATTCATTTTGTTTACTTTTCTTCTTTTCTGAGGACCTAAGTGCAGGTTGTTTTGGGAGGTGGTGGTAGCAATTGACTCCCCACTCTCAAAAGGCTAACAGAGTGCCAGGGGAGACAGAGACAACTCTATGAGAAACCCTTGCCCCAACCACGCCCTGGGGACTACACTGGAGGGCAAAGGAGCCCCTCCGGGAGTCTGGGCCCAGCAAACACAGGAAATGGAAGGACGTACATGGAATGATGAACGTTTGGCTGGAGAGGGCGAGGACAGCACGCGATGGCTGGAGCCAGATGTAAACCTCAGAAGGTTGGCTGTGAACCTTTGGATGCTAATTAAGGAGTGGACTGTTCTCAGTGGACAGAGCAGAGCTGTGAGGATCTTGATACAATGAAGGGCATGGTCAGATCAAGTTTTATGAGGCCAACTGGTGGCGATAGTGTGATTCAAGTGATGAAAATTTACAGGGCATTAAGGAGATCTTTGCAATGGTCAAGGTGGGAAATGAGTGACTCTGGGGAGAGATAGAAGGGGATAGACATAGAGAAATGGTAGAGGTGAAATCATCAAGGCTTGGCATCAATTAGATGTTGGGTTGAGGGAAAGCAAAGAACAAAAGTGTCTGAGCCTCAGGCTGCGGGCAGGGTACATGGCACAACTCTGCCATGGGGCGCCGGGAAGGAGATGCAGACTTGGAGGAAACAGAATGTGCTTGACTGGACGTGCTGAGGGGTTGACTAGAAGAGGGAGACAGTGAGGGATGGAGAAAAGGAACCTGGATGAGAAGCTGGTGGTAGAGGGAGCTTGGCTGGGCAACCCATGCTGAGGATGTAGGTAGGTTCTTTGAATTCTTCTGGTCACAGGAAAGGTAACAGTGAAAATTCCTTTTAGAAAGTTGGGGAAAATCCCAGAATCTTGTATAAGGTTAAAGAAGGAGCTTTGAAATAGAAGATACAGACAGCTGGAAACCTGTTTTTAAAACCCATTCTGTTGTGGCTGGTTCTATTTGAATGCAATTTACATGCATATAAAAGTGTTCCTTTAGAATAAAGGGAATCACGCGGTCAGATAAAATTTGCATTTTATTTTCTGGCTTTCTTAACTCACAAGACTGCTTTTCAGATGCTTCTTTCTCTGCTTAAGACCACAGAACATGGACAGCAAGGATCCTGCTTTCTCCCTCTGTCTCGGGTCCTGTGACCTCCTTCCCCACCTCCCAGGCTCCCCCTCTTTCACCTCTCCCACTTCCCCTGATAAGCAGCCCACACAGGTGATACTGTTAAGCTGCCTTTAACTTTTCTCCATTTCCTACTCAAAGCCAGTCTCCCTCCCTCCTCCCTCCCTCCCTCCCTCCCTCCTCCCCCCTCCCTCCCTCCCTCCCTTTCTTCCTTCCTCTTCTTTCTTTCTTCCTTCCTCTTTTCTTTCTTTCTTTCTTTCTTTCTTTCTTTCTTTCTTTCTTTCTTTCTTTCTTTCTTTCTTTCTTTCTTTCTTTCTTTTCTCTCTCTCTCTCTCTCTTCCTCCTTCATGAAATCCTCTACAACTATAGAAACTAACCCTGCCTCATTCCCAATAACATCACAAGTGGTTGGAAAACTTTCCCCCCTTTCGATATCCTCTTGAAAATTGTAGACT